CTTTTTTTAGGCATTTCATACAGATTATCTCACATGATATTGGATGAGAAAATAGACTCCGGAAGGCAAAGCAATTTCCTCAAGGTCACACAGCCTCAAGGGACTGCACTGAGATTGACCCCAAGGCTCCCAGACCCCAAAAGCAGTTTCCTTAACTGCTCGACTCTGGAACAGGGGCTCCTCATTGGGGAGATGGGGACTCCCTGAGTCCCCTGAATGGAAAACGTGGTGTGTCACATTTTTTCAGAGCAAGTTGCAAGGGTTTTCATCAGAGGTGTGGTTTTTTATGTATGTGCTCGTGATATTCATGAAATGTCTAAGGAAGCAGTTAGCGCTTTCGATCATATCAAAGGCTGGCTCTGGTGCCATCCTGAAAAGTTCTGGGTGTGTCCCAAACACCCCTGGCTTTTTCTCCTTGGTCTTCGGCCACTTTATCCTGATGGCTTGTTTCATTATTAGTTAATCTGATCTCATAGAGATGAGTGGAGATGTGCAGACCAAGGAGGCTGGCAGGCGCTGGTCCCGCAGCCAGGCCCCCCCACGCACACAGTGATCAGTCGTCAGAGGCAGCAGCGCTCAGGGTGCGGGTGAACGGGCTTCAAGTCCCAGGCTCGCTCCTCAGAATCCTCCCTATCGAAAAACAGAAGGAGAGGGACAGTGTGAGCCAGTGATGCTTGGGAAGGGCAGTGGGCTCCGAGTGGAAGGCACCTTCAACAGAGGCGCTCTGTCCCCTAAATGGTTAAATGGAATTCTGAGCTCTTGGGGTGGGAGGGCGGTGGAAGAAAGAAGAGAAGGAGAGAGGGAGTTGCGTTGGCGCCGGCCTGGGATTTGCTCATCGTACTCACTGTTGATTAAGCCCGCTCCGCAGCAGGCGCGGGCCGGTAAATACGCAGGCTGATTCATTAGTTTCTGACCATCTGCTTCCCGGGCCGGGGGCGGGGGGCCAGCGGGCCCCGCGGGTTAGGGCAGCTTGGCGCCGGCAGCCAGGCTGGAGCCCCCACCCCTCGGCTGAGCTGGCCGCATCAGTTTCCTGATGACACAGGCCGGGCGGGCGCAGCTGGGCCCGTGAGGACTCCGAGGTCCCAAGGTGGGGACCACAGGAGCCGGGGTCGGGCGAGGAAGGGAAGGCAGGGGGATGTGGTGTGGCTGATTTACAGCAGCTGGAGGTTGACAGGCGTAATATCAACATTCAATACAAGATCTGTTCATATTAATCTAATTATCATTCTATTATAACGTATGAATAGGATGACAGTAATAACTATAACTTAGTGGGTGGCTGCTGAGGTTTCACGCTACTGTCCTAGAGAAGCACGGTCACAACCCTGTGTCGGATGACAAGGGAACTGGTTTCAAAGATGAGGCAGGCCAGGAGGGCTTCCTGGAGGAAGCACATGGGCTAGGCTCTAAAAGCCTGGAGGAGGGAGACTGGCTGCAGGAGCGCAGGTTCAGAGCTGAAAAAGGATGAGACAGCCAGAGAACAGGCACAGCTTCAGGGTTGGGTGGGTAGCTTTCCAGGGCGGCAGGGAAGGGTGATGCCACCCGGTGCCGGTGTGCAAAGCGGGCTCGTATAGGAGGGCCCTAGAGAGAGCTTCTGAGCCATTCCTCCCACCCTAACCTGTCCTTTGCTTCCCTAGGGTGTGAGGCAATTGTGAGTTTGCTAGGACCTGGGTGGCTTAAACAGCAGGAATTTATTGTCTCGGGTTCTAGAGGCTGGAAGTCCAAGGTCAAGGTTTGTTTGACCCTTAAAGACTCAGGCAGGTTGGTTTCTTCTGAGGTGCTCTCCTTGACTTGCAGATGGCTCCCTCTTGCTGCTGCTTCTTGTGACCCCTGCCCCAGGTATCTCTCTATGTGTCAGAATTTTTCCTTCTTGTCAGGACATGGGATTAGGACCCACCCTAAGGGCCTCAGGTGAATTCAATCCCCTTTTAAAGGCCCTACCTCCAAATTCAGTCACATTCTGAGGTCCTGGGGGTTAAGGCTTCAACATATGAATTTGGAGGGGGGACAGTCTCGTGCATAATGAGATGCCAGGGCCAGTAGGAGGAGGGGGAGCTGTGGGAAGAGGGTGATTGCTGGGCCAGGGGAGGGGAGGATGCCCACCTGGGTGCAAATGGTGTCCTCCAGTCCCCAGTGCCCAGGTGTGAGCTCTGGGTCATCTGCCTACCAGGCTCTACCCCGCATGACACAACCAGAGCCATTCTGCTGTGGGCCGGCCAAGGGCCTGGGGAGGGGCTGTCCCCCACAGGCGGAGCTGCCTCCTCC